CTTCAGCTTCAACCTGAACTTGTATACAAGCAATTGATGGTCTGTTCCACAGTCAGCCCCTGGCCTTGCTCTGACTCATGATATTGAGCTTCTCTATAGTCTCTTTCCACAGGTATAGTTGATTTGATTCTTGTGTATTCCATCTGGTGAGGTCCATGTGTATAGTCGCCATTTATGTTGTTGAAAAAAGGTATTTCCAATGAATAGGTCATTCATCTTGCAAAATTCTATCATGCGATCTTTGGCATCATTTCTATCACCAAGGCCATATTTCCCAACTACTGATCCTTCTTATTTCCAACTTTTGCATTCCAATCATCAGTAATTATCAACACATCTTGTTTGCATGTTTGATGATTTCAGACTGCAGAAGTTGGTAAAAATCTTCAACTTCTTCATCTTTGGCATTAGTGGTTGGTGTGTAAATTTGAATAATAGTCCTATTAACTGGTCTTCCTTGTAGGCATATGGATATTATCCTATCACTGACAGTACTGTACTTCAGGATAGATCAGGAAATGTTCTTTTTGACAGTGAATGTGATGCCTTTCCTCTTCAATTTGTCATTCCCAGCATAGTAAACCATATGATTGTCTGATTCAAAATGGCCAGTGCCAGTCCATATCAGCTCACTAATGCCTAGGATATCAATCTTCAAGCGTTCCATTTCATTTTTGACAACTTCCAATTTTCCTTGATTCATACTTCATACATTACATGTTCTGATTATTAATGGATGTTTGCAGTTGTTTCTTCTCATTTTAAGTCATGTCATATTAGCAAATGAAGGTCCCAAAAGCTTTACTCTATCCATGTCATTAGGGTCCACTCTACTTTGAGGAGGCAGCTCTTCCTCAGTTGTATTTTGAGTGCCTAACAACCTGAGAGGCTCATCTTCTGGCACTATATCAGACAATGTTCCACTGCTATTCATAATGTTTTCACTGGCTAATTCTTTTTTTAGAAGTAGATCGCCAGGTCCTTCTTCCTAGTCAGTCTCTGGGTGGGTTTATTATATCCACCAGTCCAAATTTTCCTAATAACACATGCCATCAAAACATCAGTGCAGTTAAAATTATTAGTAGTAAATACATTGTATAAGACATCTATTTTGTTCTGCACAGGAACAAATGTCAGTGACTGACTGACTAAGCTTTAAAAATGGTTGACCTTATAGAGCCAATCCAGGAGACCTCAGTAATAGAAGCAAACACAGCCTCCACAGAGAGTTACTATGAAACACCATCATTTTACTTAACAGTGGCTCTGAGATAAGGAATTTCCCCTAGCCAGTGGGAGAATTCTGTTCCATCAAAAATACAAGGACAGAGAGTTAAGAGCTCAGGCTAGGTGAGGATTTGTCTCTTCCAGCTTTTCCCACGTCCCACTAGAGCCACTAAAATAGAGGCTGATTACCTACCACTCACTGTTCAACAATACACCAAAGCGCTGACATTCTGCAGGGAAATTGCCAACTTCTTATGTTATTTCTCAGCATGCACCCACACTTGCCACCATTTTCAGGCCTGATGACCAGACCAACACCTACCATTTTCTGTGTAGCTGAAATGGTTGATGTGTGACCTCAAGTCCCTGTCTACACACTCTCATTTCTTGTACTTTGTTGACTTGTTCCATGTCAACAGGATAGCACTTGGCCCCAGACCAGCCTTTCCTTCTCTGACCCTCCAGCAGCTGGAGCTCCCAGGCAGCAGTGGGCATGTCAGATGTAATATTTGGCCATTCCTGAGTGGCTATTACAGGGCTTCTCCGCAGCACCTCCCCATTTCCACAGAAGAATCTTTAAAAGAAATCTCATCCATCTTTCCCCTGATTATTCCTACTGGCAGAGCCCAATGTGTATCGCCTTCAGCCCTGTGGCTTCTGCATCATGGGACTTGTCCAGCCGTGATCTGTTTCATGTTCACAGCAGCTCACAGAAAATCTAGGTGCTATGCCTTAAAGCCACAGGAGGCCACAAAAGACTCTCCCTATTATTCCACAAGTTCTGTTACACATGAGGTTGCGATGAGTCAGAGCTGATTTGGCAGCAACTAACATCATTCCATATACAAAATGTATACTAGTGCTTAAGACCAACACTTTCAAATCCATTTTTAATAGCTTTATTGAGATTTAATCCATATGACAAATAATTCATACATTTAAAGTGTACAATTCAATGGTTTTAAGTAAGGTTATAGATATGTGCAAGCAACACCACAGTGAATTTTAGAACACTTTCATCACCCCAAAAAGAAACACAATATCCTTTACCTATCATCCTGCCTCACACCATACCCTGTCTGCCCTTAACACCACTAATCTACTTTCTCTCTGTAGATTTCTTTGTTCTTGGTTCTTTTTTTATAATTTTTCTCTCTTTATGCATATTCTCTATTTGATGTGATATTGTTGTCATGGTTTCCTTTACTTCTGTGAACATTTTTATAACGGCTATTTTGAAGTCTTTTGCTAAAGAACCCGACATCTGTTCGCTCCCACAGGCAGTTTCTGTTGTCTGCTTTTTTTCTCCTCGTATGAGTCATACTCCCATTTTCTGTTTCTTTTATTGCCTTATAATTTTTTGTTGGAAACTAGACACTTTAGAAAATATACTGTAGCAACTCTGGGTACTGGCCCTTTCTCCCCCCATAACTTGTTATTGCTATTTGCTTGTTTAGTGACTACCTAGATTATTTTAGTGATGTCTACCTCCAACCACCCTCTCCCCAACCCCCAAACACACACATTTGTTAAACCTCTGATGCTGCTCCTGGGATGACAGTGATACTGGTAGGCTGTCTTCCTGTCTGCCCTAACCACCCCTAGCTGTTAAACTCCACTAATTTCCAGCTGATTTCTCTATTGTGTTCAACAATGCCTGTGCCTAAATTGCTCTGCAAACTAATCCAAACAAATTCTGGCTCCTTGGAAGGACTAGTTGCTGAGGTCAGTGTTTATTTGTTCTGTCCCTAGAAGGGCTCCTCCCAGTTGCCTTTCACCACAACTTCCACTGTTCTTGAGGGGGCCTGCCCTTAGACTTACAAGCATATGGTAATGGAATAAAAGACAACTACCAAGTTACACATAAAAGTCATCTTTCCAAAGATTGGTCAGCTCTTTGACCTGATTTTAAATCAGGTAGGATTTTGTATCAGGAGCTTACTTGAAATAAAAATATTTCCCTTTTATTCTATGGTACATATGTCTTTTTTTGTGTGTAATTCACGTTTCCTTTGCCAACTGCATAATTAAGAGTCTGCACCTGTTCTTTTCCTTGAATTGATACCACTCAATGAGCCCTGCTTCACAGTCCTCACTGTATTTAAAATATTCCAGCATAACTCCTCTTGTTTTGCAAACAAAAGGCTTCCTCTCTGACAAAGGAATATGATTAGTAAATGCTTTTATTTCATGTGTCTGACAACTTAATTTCAGTACATAAAAACACTAAAATGGCCAGTCCCCCAAAAAGGGCTATTGTTCATAACAGGCATAATCTGTGAACATTTATGACACAAAGAGCTAATAATATGTGTATTTTCAACCCTTGAGAAATGTTACCCCTTCCCCAACTATTGATTCCTAAAGCCACTAAGAGGGGCAGAGTAAGGCAGCTGGTGGGGTAAGGGGAGCCACAGTTGTCCAGGGTAGGATGTTGGAGCCCAAGTGTGTAGAGGAAGGGGTCCATCCATTGGGTGGCCTGGCACAGGGAGGTAGAGCCTGAGGAGGGGGTAAGCATCCATGCAGAGGAGTGGCCTTATGAAATGTTTCGGAGCCCACGTTGTGTGCAGAGGGTACGCACACAGGGGTGCTGGAGCCTGGTGGGATGAGAAGGGTTTGTGTGTGACAGAGCATCAGTCACAAGTATCAGAGTAGAAGTGAGGCCAGGAGGCACCTGCACAAGACAGGTGGCAGCGGAGCGCAAGGGGAGGCTTGTCCATGCAGTGATCAACCCAGTAAGTGTATTCAGGATCACGGGGTGAGGTGGGGAAAGGGGGTCACAGATACAGAAAGGGAGAAAACTAGAAAGTAGTCTGTGGTATTGGAATTGAAGGTATAGGGGAATCCATGGTGTTCAGTATACAGATATAAAAAGAGACAACTATTTTTACTTTATTGCCGTCTTTAAGCTCTTTATTCTACACACACATTCCTCAAAAGAGGAAGTTGACGCAGATAATTCAATAGAAGCAGAATGCAAATTATAGAAGAAGGAAATTTTAATCATGCATGCCTCAGTAAGAGAAACAGCATGATAACCAAAAATCACTTCTGAGAATAATTCTGAGTGGGAGATAAAAATAAGAAATGGCCAAAAAATAATCAATACAATCTAAGACATAAATTTAGAAGCAAATGCCTTTAAATAACATTTGCTCAGATACATGTCACTCCTATTTGAGCCCCAAGCATCTCAATTCTTAGAAATTTGTACAGAGAAGCCTCACCCAAACCCCACCACACAAATGCAAATCAGGTGTCTGAATCACACGCATACCATACCATTCTTTTAAATACAGTAATAACAATTACTTCTGATGATTTCAGCTACATCTTTCCTTATGAACTAGGTTATTAGTCTATTTTACTTTGTTTTATTAAATACTAATGCTGAATGCTGGGGCAGTGATTACAGCACTGCGATTATAGCACTTGCTAATTTTACTGGATACCATTTAGTTCATATTTAACGTACATTCTCATTTGGGATTCTCACCAAAAAAAAAAAAAATCTATACATCACAGGCACACGCACACGCATGCATGCACTCACACATGCACACACACACAGTGATCACATGCTTAAGTTTTTAAAATATTAAGGGAAGAGAAGTAAATATCTTTTTCCTTATTATTTTATATGATTTTTCATTGGGATGTGCTAATTTTATGTTTTTAAAATTTAACTTAATCCTGTAAAACCTAACTTAATAATGACTCATAAATCATGATTTCTAATGTGAAATAAGAAGGCACCAAACAACTACTGCAGGTATGCTTTATTTTAACTTCCAACACCAAAACAAAACCAGCTAGTCAAAAATGAACAGAAAATAATCACAATCATTTGCCATCTACTGCTAATATTTAGTACTCTGTTCCAAACCAGTGGTTTATTTTCACTACACTGAGGTAAAGGGCCAGGTTGACAACGAAGTATTCCTCGGTCTCTTCAATCCACACCAAGTCCACGTGCACTCTGCCTTCAGAGTCCACGTAGTCAATGCAGTATCTCTGCCCCAAGAAATCACAAGTGTCACAGGGGCTGGTAGACAGTCTCATGCAAACTGGAGAACTGAAACACCAGAAGGGCTTTCCAGAGTCATCCAAAAGAGTCACGTCCATTATAGAACAGCTCTGTGAAACAAGAACAGATGTTTACAAGTATGAGGACAGAATCACCACAAGACCTGATTTTCACAGGAAATGATGCCTCTATAAGATGGACTGGAAGCACTGCATGAGGCGTCAAAGTCCAGGGCTGCTCTGAGGGGCACTGTGTGGTCTGCTTCACATTCTAGACTGTAACTGACATGTAGTGTGTCTCATCCCTTAATGTTCACATCCATCCAAACGCACACAGGGTGCCCACTGGGCTGTTGGGGCAGAGGAGCACCAGGAACCCGGAGATGATGTGATAAACACTGTCCCAGTCCTCCGGAGCATACAATCTAGAGGAACAGACATTAGACAAACTGTACAAGCACTAGGGTCAGCGCTTCCAAGAAGGTGGTGCCTCAGGAGACTGCAGAGTGGGGCAGCCATCCCCTCATCTCTCGTTGCCACCTCCAGATGGCCACTCTTCCACTCATAAACACGCCTGCTTCTTGTCTCTGATATATGCCAGCCTCCTGCTCACTCCCTCTCATTTCCAGGACTCTGGCACCAGGCTCATAGTCTCTGTGTCTGTCTGAGTATCTCTCGTGCTCTTTCATTGACTCACTCATCCCTGAGCTGTACCATCACTCTGAGTGACTTCAACACCCGTGGGGACCCTGGTGGAGCCATCCGACACCCTAGACTCTCTCTTCCTTAATCTGGTCCACCCAATGACCCACTCATCTGCTTCACCTCAGTTCACTCCACAGTCACACCTCTAGCCTTACCATTTCCCTTTAATGTGCCACTCACAAAATCAGCAGCTTACACATCCTGCTTTCTACCAGAATGTCTTCACCTTCCAGCTAACTCGTTCAACTACTTCCACTATAACTGTTCTCTCACCCAGTATTGTCACACTGCAAGCCACCACCTATTCGTGGACCATGAGGTAAATCTGTTGTTACTAGTTGCCTTCGCATCAATTCCGACTCATGGCAACGCCACGTGCGCAGAGTGGAACTGCTCCACAGGGTTTTCAAGACTGTGACCTTTCAGAAGCAGATCGCCAGGCCTGTCATCCAAGATGCCACTGTGTGGGTTTGAACCACCAACCTTTCGGCTAGTAGTTGAGCACTTAACCATTTGCTCCACACAGGAACTCCTGAGGTAAATTTAGTGGGACACAAATATACATTGAAATAAAATGCAACAAAATAGAAGAAAATCAGCCTGCACTGTAAGCATAATATTATCTTGTGAAACTTTGTTTTAACAGCATGTCAATATGTGTATGTGTGTATGTAAGAAAGGAGCCCTTGGCTGTTAACCAAAAGGTCTGTGGTTCCAATCCACAGCTGCTCCGCTGGAGAAAGACATCCTAATCTGCTTCCGAAAAGATTTACAGCCTTGGAAACCCTATGAGGCTGTTCTACTCTGTCCTATAAGATCACCATGAGTCGGAATCGACTCAACGGTAGCGAGTTTTTTGGGGTGTATGTATGAATGCTATTGTTGTTGTTGGGTGCCATCGATGTATGTACACTGCAGTCAAAAATGCAAAAAAAAGTGTTTGGAAAGCACCAACCATAAACCCTGGCCCCCCTGGCCCTCAGCTCTCCTTCCCCCAGTCTCTTCTTACTCACTTTAGGCTTCACTGTCTTCACATGAATGGCACTCTTGCCAATGCACATCACTCCCTTGCCCTGTTCATCACACCTTGGGTCCAGCAAAACCCCAGCCCTAGAAGAGCCCAGTTATCTCTCTCTCTGTGCCTGCACTTGGCTACCAAGCAACGCTGGACGAAGTGCCATAACTGATTGGTCTCACTGTGAATTCATGACCCTCCTGAGCACTTGCCCAACAGCCCTGTCGCTCTCCTCCTCACCGAGCAGATATTCAAACCCTGTCCAAGCTCCCAAGGCTCTGTGTGGACGACCTCCCTCTTCTCAGAGAAAAGAGCCATCAGAAAGGTACTCTCCTCATCTCTCCAACACCAAACATGCACACCTGCCGCATCTGCCCCCACCTTCTCCTCCACATGTTTGCCTACTTTCCAATTCACAACCTCTTCAGTACAACCCAGAAACCTAGCACTGGTTATGTGTTAGATTATCCCCATTGTCTCATAGCTGCCACCTCTCCCTCTCAGAGAGATCCTTTCCATCTTCCCACCAGCACGGGAATTTTAAGCATGTTGTAGTAACTCCCATCCCACAGTTCTTCTCAGCTTCAACATTTAGAATACACACATCCCAGCTGGAAGCAGTAAGCAGCATGCAACTCCCCAGTAGTGGTTAGCTAGTTCCCTCTACCTGCCTCTCAGTGAGCCGGTTCCCTCTACCTGCCTCTCAGTGAGCCGGTTCCCTCTACCTGCCTCTCAGTGAGCCGGTTCCCTCTACCTGCCTCTCAGTGAGCCGGTTCTCTCTACCTGCCTCTCACTGAGTCCTGCCAGATTCTCAGTGGGGTCCCGGGGAGGGCAGCCTGGCACACGTGCGGAATCTCACAGTCCTGGGAGGATTCTGAGCTCTGAAAGCACCGTCAGCTTCAATCACCCACTGGCTCCAGCACTGGTCAGGGCATCTGTTCTGACCAGGTACAGCAGGCACAACAGGCCAGCCCAGGAGACACCCGAAAGTAGGCACTACTGAACGAAACGAGTCTCACCACCTAGTTTAAATTAGAACTGCTGTCAAGCTCTATGTTGATTTAAAATCAACATTGAAGTAACATCAAGGCATGAAAGAAGAAAGTAAAAAGAACAATTGCAAGGCAAACCCCACCAAAAGAAAGCCCATCCATCAGCAATTCCAACAGCAATCAAGCAAAGACTGGTTAGAGGGCATTTCATTTTGAATTATTTTGTAGATTGCCAAAGAGCTCCCTGGCAGAATAACCTGGCTGTTCAGAACTGCTTTGTCAAATGGCACGGTGGCCACTTACAGAGCCACTGTCCTGTGCAGCCCATCACGAACACTCCAAGCACCATGAGCATCTCCAAAATGTATTTAGTATCATAACCTGGCTTTAAAAAAGAAAAAGAAAAAACTGATCTGCTTAAAACGTGGTTTTTTTTTTTTTTTTTTAATTTTAAAAGTTGAATAATCTACCATATAAAATCATGAGATGTTAGACTCCAGGAACGCAAGCGAAAGAAACCTTCATTTGAATCAGCTCAGTGTTGGTAATGTTGCTGCTGTTAGGTGCCATCAAGCCAATTCCAACTCATAGGGACCCCATGTGATGGAGTAGAACTACCCTATAGGGTTTCCTAGGCTGAAATCTTTATGGGAGCAGATCGCCAGGTCTTTCTCCCACGGGGCGGCTGGTGGGTTCAAACCACCAACCTTTCGGTTGTGCCACCAGGGCTCCCTGCCAGTGATGTTAGAGGTCACTGTATGCTTGGGCACTCCAGTGAAGAAGAAAACTCTTGTGGACACAATACATCAAGAGAACATCAGAGACCCCTTTCATGACCTCTAAAGCAAACCAAACCCATTGCCATCAAGTTGATTCTGATCATAGCAATCCCATAGGGTTTCCAAGGCTATAAATTTCTACAGAAGCAGACTGCAACATCTTTCTCCCGCGGAGCTGCTAGGGGTTTCGAACGGCTGACCTTTCAGTTAGCAGTGGATTGCTTTAACCACTGTGTCACTTCAAATAACCCAGTGCAACAAGCCAATTTCCTCTCTTTGTCATTATCATTATCATTAATATTGTTATTCTGGTTTTTGTGACCAGAATCACAGATTTGTGTGGCCACTTTCATAATAATCCTTGCTCTAATGGCCACTTTAAACTACAGTCCTAGGAGGCTCCTAGGGGGACGCTCTTTCTACAATTTCCGGGAGAAACAGGTGTTGTTGTTTTTTTTTAATTTTTTTTTAATAGTTATAAGTATTAATGAATTTTTTTCTATCTTATTCCCTTGCTTTAAAAAAAAAAAACAAATTAACTCTGTTACCTCAATTTCTTAAAATATATCTGACAACTTCACCGTAAAAATAATGTGACAAAATGCAATTAGACCACACCCGCATTTCAGGCCCGAAGGAGAGAGAACAGGCTCTGGAGCTATTCTCATCTTCTCATAAAGCCCAGCTGGGGTGGGATTTACAGGGAAGTCCTATAGGGGGTTTATAAGAAAAGGCATCTATAGGGAAACTGTCCAACGGACATGTAATCCATTCCCTACTCTGCAGACTCAAAACTGCATTTTCAGATCAAGCTGTTTTGCTAGAAGCCTGCACACTGGGACCACATGGGCTCAGCCTGCAGACTCACCTGCTTGGAGCTCAGTGAGAGGTCACCCCTCAGCCTCTATGTGGGCAGCTATCAGAAATCTGCAGTTGCTACTAAAATGCTATTTGGGATACGTCCATTGTGTGAGTCAGTCTGCCCTACATAAAGTCCCACTGGAGGTTTTTTTTTAATGGCTTTTTTTTTTTTTTTGTAGAATTACTACACTTCCTTTTTTTCCTCAACAAGAGCTAAACGGCTATTCTCATCTTGCTCTAAACTACCAGGAAACACAGAACCATTTAATTTTTTTTTTTTAATTACCCTTATCATTTAAGTCTGGCCTACTTAAACTCTCCTTTTCTTGGTCTTCAAAGTCTATTTTGATTTCCACATTTTCTTTTAGTATATGAAGACCTGGTGGCCCAGTGGTTAAGAGCCCCGCTGCTAACTAAAAGGTCGGCAGTTGGAATCCACCAGCTGCTCCTTGGAAACCCTATGGGGCAGTTCTCCTCTGTCCTACAGGGTCACTGAGTCAGAATCGACTCAATGGCAATGAGTTTGGTTTCGTTTCCTTGGTATTGCAGCATGCATTTTTATTATGAGCCCCATCTAAATCCACCAAAGAAAAAGAAGTCAGGTCTAGGCTCTTAAAGACAGGTACTGATGTCCTTCTGTGTATGGTAAACACAAATTTTACCAAAGTCTAAACATTTTCCCACAAATAACAGGACTAATAAAACATTCTGTCATATCCCTGGTGGCATAGTGGTTAAGTGCTACGGCTGCTGACCAAAAGGTCAGCAGTTCAAATCCACCAGGTGCTCCTTGGAAACTCTATGGGGCAGTTCTACTCTGTCCTACAGGGTTGGTATGAGTTGGAATCGACTCGACGGCAATGGATTATATCAAATAGCAAGGGGCTCAAGAGATAAAGCTTAATGACAGTTAAGTGATTTTAATGCTCACTGCTAACAGTGCCCTTGGTCTCAGTCTTCATTCATACATGAACTTGGTGTCCACAAGTTGGCAAAACAAAGCCATGTTACAGGAGGCCTTCTGCACCCACAGGAGAGAGATCCCACACTTCCCGTGAGTACAGAAATTCTATTCATCCCACAAAATAAAGGTGGGAAGGAAGAAGAACCAGGGGTGGCCCTGGGCACAGGGATCACAAAAGAAAACCAAAGCGTGTTAGGACGTTTCTTCTCCTCCCTCCTTCCTTGCCAGTCCCAACTACTAAATCAACTCTCCCATCCATGCAGCTAATTATTGATAAAGGCATTAACTGATTTAACTGGAACAATTGTGTGTGTCCTGGAACAAGAGATTTTACCTGCAAGAAATCTTAACCTGGCATTTGGGTGACTACGATGTTTTTGAGTGAGTGCTGCTTGCCTCGTCCAACCTATAGCTCCACTCTCTTGCCACAAAACAGACGGACAGACAGGCGTCACGGAGTCGAGGATGCAGTCAGCACTGTTTACAAGCCTGGATGCACACTACCTGCCACACCTGCATCAATGGCTCCGCCCCCCACCACGCTCGATTCAAAACAAAAGGCACTCGGTAATGTTTGAGGAATGAACGAACTGATTGTCAGTGTCTAAGGGAATGTGGGCAAATCTTGAGAAACCAGGATAATAAATCCAGAACTTTAAAAGAAGCATCAGGCATATATATCAACATATATTTTTTTTATTATACATAAACCACATTATTTTAAGAAAAGAAAACAATGAATTACCTCTATACGGCCCTCAAAAATATTAGTTCTCCAAGAGAGGCCAACTTTTCCAATAAGAGGTACGTGCTGGGTGTTGTTGTTAAAATTTATCACAACGAGCTTCATGTATCCATTTTCAATGTATCCTGAAAAGATTTAAGATTGTTTTAAATTACTACGTGCCAATGCAGGACAACAAATCAAGGTTCTTCAGGTTGACTGCTCAAATAAAGACGGTTAGCCTCACTGATGGAGGCAAGCATCAGCATGGCTCAGCCAGGTCACATGGCACAGCTGAGCTCCAGAGCCAGAGAAGCCGTATGTGCTTCGGGAAGGTGATCTCAGGGTGAGCCGGGGAAGGGGGGCGTGGGGAGTCTGGACACCCACCCTATCACGATGACGTTGGAGAGTGCAAGAAAGGCAAAGCTCTTCTGACTTGACTGAGCCAACAGACAAACCAGAATCGTGAAGCTTAGGAAACAGAAGCCAGAAACAGCAAAGAAAGATATTAAATGTGGGGGAGCCATGAGAGAAATATTCAGAGAAATGAGGGATTTGAGAGCAGGTGAAAATAGAGGAAGAGATCAGAGAAGAACTCCAGCACACAGGACGGAGGGATGATTGGATGGCTGGCTGGCTGGGGGTGGGAGTAGGGGGAGGGCAGTAGTGGAGTTCAGGCTAGAAAGGTAGGGCTTGCCTGTTTTAAAGGAG